CCAACCCTTTGAGGCCAGTGGCGATTCCCAGCAGAAGACAGATCCGGCTGGGGACGAGAAGGCCAAACCCTTAAACCCCAAACCCCAAACCAGGATGCACGCAGAAGCTAAGGGTGTTGGGATCCCAATCCTTTTGAGCTCCAAGCTTCAGCCCATCCAGGAGCCGGTTGCCGAGCCGCCCATCCAGGAGCCGGTTGCCGAGCCGCCGCCTCTGGATGCCGAGGAACGGGCAATGCTGGAGGAATACACATCGGAAAAGGGTGCCGTGAAAGTCATGGTTCGATACAAAAAGCAGAAAGATCGAAACGATATCGTTATACTGAGCTTGCAGGTGGAAGGAAAATGGCGCCAAAAGGCACAGATAGTCGTGAAGTGGGGTCCCCAGGGTGGCGGGATGCCGCCATGGGCTGCCATGCTTGGAATGAAGCAGGTGGCCGAGCAGATCCTTTCGTCAGGAAATATCGACAACATCAAGCAATGGAAGGAGGATGTTGTGCGGGCGATCAATGCAAGCACGTGGGTGGAGTACATGGAAAATCTGAGGCATCAGTGTGAAAAGTGGGCCACAACAGAGCTCATACAGTTTGTTTCTGCCAGAAAGCACTTGCTTCCAGGCGGCACATAGGCCCAAGACATGGTGGAAGCACGTGACTGATTGGGACCTTGAATCCTGAACTTTACCCTAAATTACGAGGTGTGTGCCTGCTCGAAATCCAGATGTGCAATTCCTTGCAAAGTTTCACGTTGTGCACTGGTGCCTGAGACACATCGCCACTGCCGCACGAGCCAGATCGTCAGTGCCGCCAGAACGAGGTTAGCCTGGGATGGGTAATCTTAAGTCATCTAGATTCTAGACCATATAGACTTTTAAGTCGGCCTCCTGTGTTTGTCCTCGGCACGTACTAGGGCTATTGTGCACGGTACAGGATGCGGATTTCAGGGTTGTGTTCTTGGCTTGAGCAAACTTACTACATGTGTACACTGCAGGTACAGCATCCCTCCATAAATCGTCGATCGGTGCACTACCACTACCACAACCGTTGCCATTGCCACGTACTATATAATATACCACTCTATACCACTATAAACCATTATACTTATGTGTATATATATATATATATATATACAAAGTATATATATATATATACTGCTACACCACTCTACCACTACCACTGGCACGACTACCACCACCACTGTATACCACCACAACCATTATGACCATATATCTATAGAAAACACTACCAAAACAACCCTGCAAACCACAAAAGCAATAATTCTAGCTAAATTTGCTGAAAACATCCAAAAACAAGCAAAAGAGACCAAAATGCACCCAAAAGTAGCGATGAGCCTGCGATGAGCCCCCCAGCGATGAGCCTGCGATGAGCCTGCGATGAGCCCCCGATGATGCTTTCTTGTATAGATGGTGGATGCACCCCAGGTTCCCCGGAAGCCTGAATCCCAGCCAACCGGATGCGATGAGGGTGCGATGAGGGGGGTCGGCCGGGCCCGCGATGAGCCTTCGATGAGCTTGTGGGGTATCATGGAGTCATAGTACTGTATAGATCTTCGTGTATGAATCAAGCATGATGCTAGGGTTCAGGCAAGCCCCAGGTCAGCGATGAGGGTGCGATGAGCCTAGTCGGGGCAATTTTTTGGCCCGTCCTAAAAGCTTGAAACCCTAAGACCTTCACAACCCTTTTGATTTCATATTCCTTAAGACCCCCAAACCTTTGAAACCCCAAACCCCTAAGGCCCCATAATCCTTAAGACCACGAAGCCCTTAAAACCCCCCTTCCAGGATCGTGGTTCCGAGCAGAAGAACGACGGGGCTGGGGCTATGGCATCCACGCAGGCCATACTTTCAAAAGCTTAAGCCCCTAAGACCTTCACAACCCTTTTGATTTCATATTCCTTAAGACCCCCAAACCTTTGAAACCCCAAACCCCTAAGGCCCCATAATCCTTAAGACCACGAAGCCCTTAAAACCCCAAGCCCTTAAGACCTCATAATCCTTAAGCCCTTCCAGGATCGTGGTTCCGAGCAGAAGAACGACGGGGCTGTGGCTATGGCATCCACGCAGGCCATACTTTCAAAAGCTTAAGCCCCTAAGACCTTCACAACCCTTTTGATTTCATATTCCTTAAGACCCCCAAACCTTTGAAACCCCAAACCCCTAAGGCCCCATAATCCTTAAGACCACGAAGCCCTTAAAACCCCAAGCCCTTAAGACCTCATAATCCTTAAGCCCTTCCAGGATCGTGGTTCCGAGCAGAAGAACGACGGGGCTGGGGCTATGGCATCCACGCAGGCCATACTTTCAAAAGCTTAAGCCCTTAAGACATTCATAACCCTTAAGACCCCGATCCCTTTCAGGACCCTAAACCCTAAGTACACTTATAGCCCCAAGCACCCCAGCACGTTTCAGACGAGGCCCCGATCGCCACGGAGCAGAAGGCCCAGCAGAAGCCGCCTGGAAAGCCAAAGGATCGGAGCTACGTGTTGTTTTTGCTTCCCGGGCTAGCATGTCACAAACCTTAAAAAGCCCTGTGGTCTCCTGAGACAGGAGGACTTGACACCGAGCAACGAGAGGGCAGTCAAGATGTATGCTGCCGAACACAACATGGCCATCGGCGAGGTCACACTACAGATGGTGAAATCCTCCGACTTGGGGCTGCATCATTATGCCTGCATTGGCCTGGACACCTCGGCGCGGGGGGCAGCAGGCCAGGCATTGAACCGGGCCTTGGACAAGGACCCTCATGTCAAGAACGACGTGTACAAGTGGTTGTCGGAGGACCTCAAGAAGAAGTTCAGGACCTCGTGGTCGATCGAGAGATCCTTCGAGAAGGTCGTCCGGCAGCGGACGAGAGTTCTGAGGAATCTTGGATGTTTTGTTCAGTGTTTGCACACAGTACAGAAATCATTTTCCTGCATTGTTTGGATCTCCCGCTTTTGCTTGTTATGAGGAAGATAAACTATAGTGATTCTGAAGCCAACTTAGGAACGTTAACCGTCAGCAAGAGCTGGGCAGCTGGAAATCGGAGCTTCAGTTGAGAGTCCACTTCGGAGGGGCTCACGAGCCAGAGGCGAAGCGACAGACCGACAACTACGTCGCGATGTGCCGTCAGTTTGGGGTGCCTTGGATACAAGAGGATTTTTGGTTTTGTGAGTTTCAAGCTTCTTCGTTTTGGTGTTTTCCTTTTTGTGGGCCCTTTGGTCAGGAGATCTTCTGCGAGTTTAACAAGTGGACACGGGCAGAAAACTTCCTGCTCGTAGAGCGGCTGTCGAGCTCGACGCAGGAGGAAGAGTGGCAGGAGGTAGCCAGCCAGATGGACAGCTCGCCAACTTACGAGACGGAGGCATATCAGTCGCGAGCACGCAGAAAGTATGCTGCAGCGAAGGGTGTGCCGTTCGAGGCCGTCATGCTGAAGCAGGTGGAGGACTTGGAGGGTTGGGGGATTTTTCTTCTGGTTATTTTAGGGATTTTGTCTTTTGTACCATAACCCCAATTAGGGTCCCTCTTAGGGCACTTATAAGTCTACTTACTAACTACTTACTAAGTCCCCCGCCTAAACCCCTAAACCCCAAACCCTCAACCCCTAGACCATAAACCCTAAACCCCCAAACCATTAAACCCCTAAACCCTACACCCCTAAACCCCTAACCCCCCCAAGGAGAGCGACCTGGGCTTGAAGGGCTACGCCGAGATGGTCATCACGGTGCCGGGCATCGAAGTGGTCGAGGACGACAAGGATGCAAAGGCCACCAACCGCAAGCCGAACAAGCGAAAGGTCCCCAAGGACTTCGAGGAGGCTCCGGACGAGGATGCCAAGACGACCGAGAAGGACAAGAAGGGCAAGACCGAGAAGGACAATAAGAAGGAACCCGCCAAACCCAAGGCAAAGGCCAAGGCAAAGCAGGAGGGCACGGTCAAGGAGGCAGAGACCGCCGCCAGGACGGTGGTGCTGCAGATCCAACGTGCTTCGCAGACCGTGGAGAGGTTGCAAGCGGCCCTGCATGGCGAGCAGTGGGCAGCCCCGCTCATGAAGGAGTTTGACTCCCTGCAGGCGGCCTTGAAGATGCAGGTCACGCCCACGGACGGGGACGACCTCGGCGAGTTCGTGAGCGAGCTGAAGCTTGCTGTGTTTTCGGGGACCGGTGCCAGCAGCACCAAGACCTTGAAGAAGGACTACAAGGATCGCTACCTCCCGCTGCTCACCATGTTCAAAGATCGATGCCGAGGTGCTGCCCAGCAGTGACTTGGCTAGATTCATGTTTTGCTTGTGTGATTGAACGTTTGTGCATGGTGACCATTGTTTCGTGTTTTCGCTATCAGCCCAGGATGCTGGACCTGGCCAACAAGATGGACAACATGTTCAAAGCCGTTTCGATGGAGGCCGACGCCAACCCCAAGGGTTCCAGGAAGTCGGCTCTGAAGAAGAGGACCCGGAGCGACAGGGACCTAGGCGGCTCCTTTTCGTCTGTCTGAGAGTTTTTGATGGCAGGTAGGATCCACTTGCAGTGCCATCGATTTGGTACTGATATGTGGTGATGTGCAGCCATGCCTCGGCCCGCAACCGCAACCCAGGACCCAAAGCAGGGGAGTTTTCTCGGAAACATGTTCAGTAGCACAACAAACAGAAACCAAGGCATGTTTGCACATGTGTCGCCTTGGAGGGGAGAACCTAGGCTGAATGCTTGAAAAAAGAGTGCCCGCAGCTGTCATTCCAAGGTCTAAAATGCTTGTTCATGTCGGAGAATGGTCCGGATATGAAAGGACGTCCAGCTTTGCATGTTTCTGTTGTGCCCGCAGCTGTCATTCCAAGGTCGAAAATGCTTGTTCATGTCGGAGAATGGTCCGGATGTGAAAGGACGTCCAGCTTTGCATGTTTCTGTTGGTGTGGGCAGGCCTTACTTCCAAGCCTTAAGGTATAGAAGCAGAGAATGTGAAGCCAAGCATGTAGTCACAATTGCAGTTGAAATAGGTCCATGGACCCGAGATGCGGAAACGTGCTTTTGCCCAAGTACAACAGGAAGATGAGGGTTCAGGGCCGACGCCGGACCAGGTGCTTGCAGGCCAGCAGCTACGAATGTTCTTGCTTGATAGGTTTTGCACGGGATCCTTACCTGGATCGGATGTGGCAGAATTGTGTCACTATGTGACACGAGCTGGAGGTACTGGTGTGGCTACTTGGGCCCTGAATCCCGAGCAAGCCGCTCGTCACGGGTTTGAGCATATCAAATTACACGCTGGAAAAGAATATCCTGAACCGGATCTTGACTACGTGACTGTGCCTTTGTTCGAGAAACGGCAGTCTCGACGAGTGGCAGAAAAAGTGCCCATCATGCTTCCTTCGACACTCTTTAGAAAGTTCGTGGAGGTGCCCTCGGCACAAAGCAAGGACGAAATCAACTTCCGAAAGATGCTTCAGAAATTGCCCTGCTACGACAATCACCCTGTTGTTCAAAGGGCCCGAGCTGCTGGAAACACGGAACTTGTCCGGCCCATCGCTCTTTACTGGGATGGGGTCCGCTACTCGGTGCACGATTCTTTCACTGGCTTCTACGTGACTGATATCTTATCCGAGCAGAAGTTCGTTTCCTTTCTGCTTCGCCCCTCCGCTAAACAAGCACATCCATTGTTTGGTTCTTTGATGATTGAGTCGCATATGAAATCCTTGTAGATTGTAAACCTTACCATGGAGTTTGGGCTTACCTTACATATGGGTGATTCTGAAAATGGGGGACCCAAATAGAGTACCCTAAATAATCGGACCCTTATGATAAAGCCCCGAAACTACTGCAACCAAGCCCGGCATTCGCCGGAGCTTCTGAATAGAGTAAGGCCGAAACTAATGCACTCAAGCCCGGCCTTCGCCGGAGGTTCTGAAGACATGTGCCGCTGCGGCTGTCACGGCTGGTGCACCATCTTCCCGCTGCTGGATGCCTGGGTGCAAGATCTGGAGAAGCTGCAAGCATCGCTGAAGTATTGTGTGCTTGACATCCAGTGCGATTGGCCGGCTTATTTGGAAATCATAGGGGGCAGATTCTGGAATCACAACAGCCACCCGTGTGCCCTTTGCCGTATTTCGCAAGATGACATGACTGCCGACAATGTGCACAGCATTACCCTGGACAATGTGGGCCACTTGGTGTACTCGTCGGAAGACTACAACAACGACATCGGCATGTTCACCAGGGTGAATAAGCTTCCAATACGGGGGTTAATTTCCGAAGACAGGGGCACCTTATTCTGGGGTCTTTATCACAAGGATCCTATTATTTAGGGTACTCTATTTGGGTCGCCAATTCTCACAAGCACCCATATGTAAGGTAAACCCAAACCGTTAAAAGCCTAATCCCTGAAAGCCCAGCTTTAAGCAGTAGCTTCATCTTTTGGGGTTGATTTTCTTTTCGTATGTCGAAACCGGATCGAGCCCACCTGAAAGGAAATTCTTGTGGATACGGCGGAGATGCTGCGAACGATTGCCAGAAATCTTGAATACAGCCGACTAGATCGTGGACGACATCTCACTGCAGACTTGCCCCGCTACGGCCTCCGCAAGAACTGGAGACTCGAGCCCAGCCGCCGGCTTCCAGATGTCAGCCAGCTGGAATACCAAGAGCTTCCTCTGAGGGTGATTTTTTGGATTGCGCCGAGAGATGCAAGGCTGACCCACATGTGCCCTCTGTTTTCGCTCCAGGGGGTTACACAGGATAGTTGGTCAATTGATATTATGCACGCCTGGCACCTCGGACCCATGCAGCAGTTCATAAGCCTGGCTATGCATAGTTTCATTGCTTCGGGTGTGTTTTCACCCCGCAGTGTGAATATAGAAGCTTCAGAACTTCGAGAACTGGCCCTTTTGGCCATCAAAGCCGAGCTCTTTCAATTCTACAAGAACCTGAGATCTACCGACCAAAGGTGGCGAGAGAAGGGATCCGAGGTCTGGAACTTGACTATGGGCATGATTGGAAATGAGGATACCTACAACTTGTCGGCAAAAGCAGCTGAGTCGCACGGTCTTCTTAGATTCGTCCTCTGGCTGCTGCACAAGTATGCCGATGAATTCGCCAAGCAGCCGGATGAGCTGGCTCGCAAGTTCGCACTCTTGACGGCTTGTGCAGAAGCTGCCCATGCCATGGACGAGCTGCTGGAGTTGGAATTCCGCCGACAGTTCACTCGACAACATTGCCAGGCCCTGCTGCAGCTGTACCTACGCTTTTTAACGCTTTACTTGAAAGCGGGCGGTGTATGGAGGCCGAAATGTCATCTTCTTGTGCACATGATTCAGCGGGCTCTTCACCGAGGGAATCCGCGATTGTACTCCACCTATCGTGACGAAAGCTTGAATGGGGTCATAGCCAAGATTGCTCGTTCTGCTCATCGCAGCACTTGGTCGAATGTGATTCACTGGAAATGCAACTTTCTTCAGCAAAAGAAGCTGGAGTGCTCGAGTGAATGAGGTGGCGAGTGGAAAAAAAGGCAGTCTCGCAGTCCAGAACCACTAAAAACCGTAAACCAGCACCTCAAAACCCCAAAACTCCTCAACCGCGAACCCCGAAGCCCAAACCTTCGCAAACTCTCTCTCTTTCTCCCTCTCCCTGGCTCTCCTTCTCGTAAACTTCGACCCAAAACGCTTAATTCAGTTTTTTTCGGGTTTGGGGCTTCTGGTTTATCTGGCTCAAACGGCTCAAGCTCTGTATAATGCTCCGATGATGCAATACACGATATATTCTGGCTCAAACGGGTCAAGCTTTTGTAATGCTCATGATGCAATATACTACATATACTGGCTCAAACGGCTCAAGCTTTGTATAATGCTCAAATGATGTCAAGATTTTCCGTACAACGATTGCGAATGGATCTAATTTTTAGATCCATTCAAGAAATCGTCTCTATTTTCCGACATGAGTGGTGGATCTAATTTATAGATCCACCCGGGGGTCTGGGCAGGCCACCCAATCCAATTGCTATTGCACTGGCAACCAAGCCTGCACCTGCGATGTCCAGGGAGCAAATTATGATACATCGCAACCACAGAGTAGCGCCAGCCAGGGCCCCTCCACGAAGGCAACCCGGTGACCATGATCATCCATTTCGAGCGTGCACACCAGACCCAGACTAGACTCAAGTGGTGGTGCATAGCGTCAGAGCAGGGGTGGCATGGAGGGTGGAAAGAACCTCAACGACGTATGTCGTCGGTTGCAAGGCTTCCACGAGGAAAGGAGAAGAGGCGACTTGCCTCAAGGGGTCCGTTACAACCTGGCCACCCAAGTCCCATTGCCAGGTGCACTGGCAACCGAGTCTGCAGTATCGGAGTCCGATTCGGCATGGCGGCAAGAGCTCGCGCCCAGACAGTTGAGCCCGGCCTTGACGTAGGCCATGTGCCCGTGCGGAAAGCTCCAGGGAAGTATCGACACAACGACGTATGTCGTCAGTCCCACGGTCGGCAGGTGAAAGTGGGGGTCACCTAGCCGCGCGGCCAGCTGTCGAGCAGGCGCTGTGGAGATTCCAGCTCTCGGAGGTGGCCGCAGCTTGAAGACGCCGCAGAGCGCTATTCAGCAGGTGCCTGCAAACCCAATAAGATGTCTACAAGCGGGAAGAGCAGGCGAAAAGTGCCTCTATATGTGCCTGGATCGCGTCTGGCCGGATTCCACTCTCGAAGCCCGCCATCAGTCGGTCAGCAGTGGTAATCTGGAGGCGGCCCACTAGGGCAGCCGGCACCTCGCATTTGACTTTCACCTCGTCACGAGTCGGAGTAACGTTGGTGAGCTGCAGTGGAGCGGCTGTAGGGTTGTCCTGCAAGCTCATCGAAGAAGCGCTACCACCATCTCAGATCGAGCAAGCTGGAAAGGTCAAAAACTCGTCCTTCAGGCAGACGCAGAACAGGATCGCAAAACTGAGCCAATGCGACAGTGCAGCGTCGCAACATGAGAGCCCGGTTTAGGAGGCAGAGACAAGAGAAGGGAAAGCAAGGTCAGGCAGTTGGGCAACAATTGTAGTTGCCAGCTCCAGCTTGGTAGCTCTTCGAATTCGTCCTCATCTTTAGCCGCTACACACCGGCTGGCAATGAATGCAACTTCTGGCACAAGGCGGCAAGGCAGAGTCTCTACTGCGTCTCTGCGATCAGCGCAGGATCCCATTTCGCAGGCACTCCTATCCGGGTCCGTGGGATCGTAGTAGAGGGCGCGTGGCAGGCCGGCGGCAACATGACCGTTTCAGAGTTAGAGTGACGTATTTGTGACGGTACGAAACGCTGCAACAAAGGTGGAAGCTCCCGGCACAGCGGTGACCAGCGACTCCGATAAGCTGGCTTGCTCGACAGCTAGCGGATCGAAGGTGCGTCGAACGAGCTATGGTGAGTGGAACGGAGCGCACTGTAGTCTTTGGGAGGTACGCCCACGCTCTTGTACTCTCGAAGACGGTAAAAAGCAAACCGCAGCGTAAACTCAAGCAGTCCGAAGTAAGTTTCTCTGGTGCATGGCAGAGAACGTCTGTTTCGGTAATCGAATGAAGTGCACTTACCGCTGATGAGAGCCATCAGCTGCAACTTGCTGCAGTCGCCGTGCGGAGTGTCCGCCGCCAAATACTTATCCCTTGTTCCGACATCGCCATACCTGTTGGCATCCGTGGAATTGCTCAGCTGGCTTCGCAGCCGGTTTCCGAGGCCGAGGCGGCTTGCCGCTGCACTGCGTGGCTTGGTGCAGTCCAGTAGAGACGGCTTCACACAGTCAGATGGTCCAGTCTCGGACATTGCCATGATGGCAAGGCGCCCAGCCACCTCCAGGCACCAGTCTCACAGTATGCCGGAAGTTGTCAGAATGTCCTCTTTTTGGAGTAAGGACGAAGTTGGAGTTGGCCAAGACGCAGATTCGCGACCTAGTGCTGGATAACCCGACAATCGGCCAGTAATGAGGTGGAGGCAACCAGGGCTAAGTTCAAGCAAACTCCGTTGAAAGGAGCTGGGACTTCAGCTTGCATGGCGCAAGTATTGCGCCGACTGCCAATAGACGGTTGAGATAGCACCTTCGGGATGCCGACTGGAGGAAGTTTTAAGGCGACTGGAGTGTGGATACACCGGATCTCCGACCCTTGTGGTGAGACAGGCCAACGTTTGCAATCAAACCTTGCCTTTGCTGCCTCTAGCGAGTTGTCGTGGGTCGTCTGTGCGAATAACAAGCTGGCCTTCCGCATTGGCAAGAATGGTAGAGAAAGACTGCCTCTCCTGTTGCCTCTCATCTATCACAATAACAGACACATGTTGAGAAAGATCTCAATCTCACTGTAAGAAGGCATATCGCAGTTGCAACGCTCTTGTGTGAGTAGAAGCATGTGAGCGCTACCTCGAACTGAACCGTGGCAATGTCTTCCAGCTCTGCCGCTTGTGCAGCTGTCTTAATGAAAGGTATCATTTCAACATTGCTAGAGACCTTCCACACAACAATGAGCGGACGCAGCCGTTCTGGAGCATTGGCTAAGAGGTTGGAGG